ACCCTCCCGCTTTAACTTTATCGAATATTGTCTTTCAAAACTGAATTTAGGAAGTCATAACATATTTATTATACTGTAAAGCTTCTAAAGTGAGTAATATGTTTTTGTAACTTGTTTTCACCGTCTGAGGGACAAGGCTTGTGTTCAGCATAAAATGCATCCGTCGCAGAAGCTGTCTGTCACTAGAGGGCGCGCTTTGTTCGAATGGTATACAACACACTGGCAGCTGTATTTGAAAATCCTTCGCCTTTGAAAGGTAGAGGAAACCCGAGTCCACTGTATCACGATTTCCTAAGTTTGATTATTTGTATTTATACTTCTATTGAGGGCGAAATTGAGAGCGTAAGAAAGCAGTACATTGCCGATGGATGGGATTGCTTTATTGTTGTTTAATTAGCAATTTTAATTGTTTTCAGACAATTATAGTCACCAGAAATCCAAAGGATGTAGCCGTGTCCTTATGTAATTATCATCATATTACAAAAGTGTTGGAACCAATTGAATGGGACAATTTTATCAGAGAATATGGCAACGAGAACAGTGAGTAACCAACAACAATCTATTTGTTAGTATGTCGAAATATTATAAGGTTACCGCTAATAAAAACGTTTTGAGTTATAGCGCCCTCAGTCGGTTTCTGTGCGAGAATGGGGGTTAATTTCTAGCTCCTGTGATTTATTCACCAGGTTCATCAGTTACCGGCGTTCTGATGAGCTATCGAAAGTTGGCACGGAAAAATCACACCCCTCCCTAACCACAATGCTGACAACATTGGAACGTTTTTTTAAAACCAGAGCACCAAAAATCTTCATATACCCAACGGTTGCGGTTGATTGTCTATAACTGCAGCGTAAATATACAGTCAAATCTCGTTTATAATAGTGATATTCACACAATACTCCTTCTTGACATTAGCCTTTTAGATATTCACACTTATTATATAATATCTTATACTATAAGCGCATCAAAAACGAGGTCGAATATACTGCCCTCTATTGGTGACTTTGATTGCTTCGAGCGTACAATCACTCGTCTGATTTTGAGTCATAGAGTGAGTGAAAATAGTTCAAAAATATTCGCAATAAAAACCAATGCATTATCCTATGTTTAATGCTACATTTCTATCTTTTGCGCGAAATCTGTGTTGTGCCTTTGACGTTAAAATGACGTAATAACAATGATAATATTCATAGACGTCTACAGGCGACAATTAGAACGGCATTCGTGAATCTTTTTTTTTCACTAGAGGGCGCACGTTTTAAAAAAGGTGTGAGGTAGTGGGGAACGCTTTTGTAATTCATTCAATTGATCTCCCAGAGTAGATCTGCCTATATTTTCTGAACAGATTTCACCTCCAGTAATGCGAAAACTGAAAGAATTAAACAAATGGTCTATTTTTCTTACAAGTCTTACAAGAAGCCGAATCAAATGTCAATCATGTATGTGGAATGTTATCAGGGTCTCAATGACGTCAACAAATTTGAATATGAATCAAAATTTACTCTGGGTTGGCAACATGTATTTTTCTCCTGTCAGTGTCGTCAGGTAGTATCCCGAATCACAGCGCTATTTGGAAAATATAGATTTGAGACCTGTGTTTAGTAAACGTCATTGTGTGCAGGTTGATGTGTTTGTAGACGTCATCCTCTTGTCTGCACAACTGCTCAATATGATACAACGTAGAAATAGAAACAAATTATATTGACAATTCCTGTTGCTAAACAACACACATAAGAACAGATGTTGTCACTTAATGCAAAACATTTGTTTGTGCACGTTGAATATTTTGATCACATGCATGGATGCCAGGATGTGCGCGTATTATGCATCATAGTCTCTCAATTATTGCATCACATATTCTGATATGCACATCAATTGTATTCATATTCGTATTATAGCTCGAGTACTAACACGTCTTTAGCATTTTACCTGTTATTGTTGTTATATCTAGCCGAATATGGTTCATACTTTCAATATACAATTGATTGGGCTAAATATAAAGAGGAACCATGGACCATGTTTATTAGATATGAAGATATCAAACAGGTATGTGTATTGTCAAAGTCACCATCTTTGTTTATATTAGACCCGTATATCGCGCATGCGTGGCGCGACGATCACCACCCTTTAACCAAAATAAAAACATGCTTATACATTACAGTCTCCACAAGAATACGTAATGAAAATGG